CTACTAGTACTACTACTGCTACTATTGCTACTATTACTACTGCTACTACTACTACTACTACTACTGCTATTGCGACTGCTAGTACTACTACTACTACTACTACCACCACCACTACCATCACTACTACGAATGCTACTGTTTCTCTAACAACTACGACGGCGACGACGGCCGGCAGCATTACTTTGGATTGATACTTTTCCCACCACCAGTGCGATAGCTACTTCGATGACGACGACCATTATTGCTGGCACACATTTGTCGTCAATGCTGACACAACCAAAATGGGCTTTTTTAAATGCTTCCCAAGTACCTTTTCACGGTAGCATGAGAAAAACGGGGGTTGTTGGGATCGTATTAGTTTGCGGAGGCAGTTTGGCCCCAGACAATGCAATGCGTAGCAAACTCATCAGCAGCAGTCGTTTCGGAAACAAAAATGTGTGGGCATAACATTCCGCACTCGAACGCGAACAACTGCTGCATACCGGAGTTGCCGGTTGCTTTGTTTGCCATGGCGGAGCGTGATGACATGTCATCATTGGCCTGGACAGGCATCTTGGCAGGCGGCCAGGCTGCCAACTCATACTAATTCGCTTGTTCACGGGTTTCAGAATTTCGTTATTTTGCTGTAGGTCCTTGTAGGTCGTTGATTTTGGCACGCAGCTTCCTTCTCATAGAGGGAGAGGGTAGGCTTGCTGAGTCAAAGTGCCCCTCATGGGATCCGAGCCGTATAACTCACTACACGTTGGGTTACGTGGTGAAGATCAGTGGTGACAAGCAGTTAGTGCGTCGAGAGTGCAGAAGTTTACGAAATCATTACAATGGGCACCCCAAGTGACACTACAGCGGCCGGCTTTTAGGATGGAAGTGAGAGAACATGCTGGGCTGTCTCCAGTGTGATTCAAACTTGAAATCGATGGGCTCTCGTGCGGCCCGCGATGAGCATTTTGCACTTCGAGGCGGCGTGTTCGCAGCGGCAGCCCTTGGGCTGTATCAACACGGGAAGTACCAGAAGAAGGCCCACGTGACCGGCTTTCACCAGTTCTATTGTATCTTTGATGCCTTGAAGGAATTCGAGCTCCTCCAATCATTGGTGGTGACCGGCCACGTAGCTAGCACTTGTTGGTTTCCGATACATCGACATGTTGTTATTCAACCGAATGTTTGGATGTTAAGGCGTGGGCGAAGCATGTGATGCAGCCCAGCGAGATGGCAGGATGAGGAACGTGCAAATGAGTGGAGAAAGCTACACCGATGAGCCGTTGACCAGCCAGGTTCGATGACATGGTCGCATAGGGTGCAGTCCACCACAAGATCCAAGAGCAACCTGATTTCAGAATTCAAACACGTTGTTACGTGCATTTCGTCACACAAGAGTCTGGGACACTATGTTTTGCGACATGCCATGGATTGCGCAGAACCGACACTGCTTGTTTTCAAGGATCTGAAAAATCAAGCTTGCTTGACGAGCCGAGTTATAAAGGCTTGCCTTCATACCAGCTTAACAGTTGAATTTGCGAACAAACCCTGAAGGTTGGGGCCCCTGCATTGGCAGTGCTGCGAAGAAAAGTGGTAAAGTCAGAGGAATATGAGTGGCGGAAGGGAAGCAAAATTTACGAAAGGATAGAAGTCACCGATCAGCAGGGCCAGAAGCATATCAAAGAGGTGGATACGGGTCGTCGAGAGCAAGGTGAATGGATCCCGCAAGTGCGCTTCCGTGAGGTGGAAAAGAACACACTCATTGCTCCCACTGGCATTTGTTTTCGGCAGCTTGGGGCGGTTTCTTCGAATTGGCAACTTTCTGCCACACCCCAAATATGTTTGAATCTTGCGAACTTCGATGTGAACCGGCTTCTGCAATGTCAGCCGGAAACGAGAACTTTTGAGCCCCAGGAAATGATGCAAGGAGGAGTCAGTGTCAATGTCAACGTCAACAGTGGCTCCACCAGTCGACCGCCACGACCTGCCAATCGTGTCCTTGGGGTAGAGACGAGGGAACGTGTTCTGCCCGTTGGCCAAGAAATCCACGCTTTGGGCGATGTGGTATGGCGTTACAGAGCCTCCATCAAGGGCATGCAAGGTGGTGGAGGAAGCATGGCCGTGTTGCAGCCAAGCCAGGCTCGAGATCCAGGTTTGACACAGGTCCTACTTGGCATGATGTGTAGGTGTAGGACGTTTCCTGACATGCATTGGTTCCCGAATCTGCGAGGAAGTGGCTGGTGGGGAGGGGCTTGAGAGGATGTCTCGTCGTTGTTCTGGTGTTACGCATATTCAATATTTCGCATGACTTGAGCAGTGTAGATTCGACAAAGGCCACCCCGTTGTAGCGGCCAGTATCCTCGTGCCACGCAGGCTGGGCCCTTTGGCTTTGCTTATGGCTCCCGGGACGATGTCTTGTTGAAGAAAGCCGCGTCGCTTAGGGAGTCGAACAACGGTGCGATGATCTGTGGTGGATTGGGTATCTGCAGCATGGTTTTCGGTACAACGTTGCTTCGTGCATACAGCTAAGACGAGAGTTGGATATTGCGAACTGAAAATGATGCCCTTGGTTCTTGTCGATGCTACCGATGATGCTGCCGCTGTACAGACTCTGGACAGGGTCTTCGTGACGAGCTCAGCAGCCGTCTTGGAGCAGGTGCTCGCAGAACCCGAGTTGTACTGTGGAAGCCATTGCCATGCGGAACGGAACGGCGAACTTTGAGCTTACGCTCGTCGCTTGGTCCTTCGTCATGGCACATCTCGGAGGCTCGAGCTGCCTGCTAAAATAGTTTGAACGATGTGAGTAGCATAGTCCAGCACTGACATTCATGTGTAAATCAGCCAAACAGCAAACGACCCGCCGGTCTCGTGCACGTCGGGCAACACATCGAGGCCAGAAGCTGCACGAGGGATGGATGCAATGCTGCGTGTTCTGACCCTCGGTGATCCACCTCACATGTGTCTGTCAGCCTCAAGACTCGCATTGTTAGCAGTATTGGCTCATGAGGATGCAAGGTAGCGGCAGGTAGCGTGGTGTTACAGGGAGCAGTCTTTTCAGCACAGCATTCATTCCCCACCCGAGACGAAGACCGGCACTAACATCAGCGATCAGCCTTCACAATAATCGTTTGCATGCCGTCGATAGTCAGCTACAGCAGGTTGGCCCACTGAATTTTTTTGCTGCTGTGACCGTATTCTTTGTAAACCGCAGGTGGCATCATGGCGCATGGTGAGGCTGGAAGCTGTTGCAGCTGAGATATTCTGTCGTTGTCGCTTGGAAATAAGGAGGGACCACTCTCCTTCTTGGATCGGTTGTTGGAAGAGGACTGCTTCTGCCTGTTTGACAATGCCTTTGACTTGGCCTCGGTATGCCACTCGTAGGAAAGACACAGCAACTTGCATTTGGGAGTTTGGGCCTCAGAGCTTCACGCTTGACATCTCATCCATGCCTATGAACGTCATGTACGTTTTCTAGAACCAGACTGAGATGTCCAGGATGTTCGGTTTTGGAAGCATCTGGAACACATGGACAGCAGCTCGGGCCACGGTGACTGCTAGCACTGCTAGCGTTGCTACATGGCTGTCTGCTGTGCTTCTGCCGGCACTGCCTGAGAGGTCACATCTATCGCACAAAGTCCCTCGAGTACAAGACCATGAAGCTCATGTTCTGCGAGGTGGGGCTGCCATGCTTGTGTTTCGAGGAGATGTGTGTTTTCAATTCCATGCCGTACCAACTGCTTTCGGAAGAGCTTGTCATGCAGTCGTTCCGTTTGGCTCAAAACCGTTTCAGTTGGTATGTGTTCAGGGTGATGTTCAAAAAGACGAAGCAGCCGGAGCACATCGTGGGACATCGTTTGCTTGGTGTGAACGCGAAGCGCGACCCGCTCTTGGATGAGAAGCTTGGATCCAACAAGCGCAGTCGATTAGAAGATGGCTCCTCCTCTGTCATTTACAAAGAGACCCCCGATGAAAAGAAGGCCCGCCTACAAGCGGAAAGGCAAGCAGAAAAGGATTTGAAAGCCCAAAGCCGGAAAGGAGGACTGGGCCCCAGCAAGGCTAGCATCCTGGGTCTCCCTGAGCCAGAAGAGGCGGAGGAGGATGCAAACGAGGCTGCAACTCCAGCAACACGGGTGCCATTGTCTCAGAAAGAGGCAAAGAGCACTCTGGCTTCTTTCCGCGAGCGCTTGCGGGGCTCCAAACTGCCTGAGCAGGCTGCTGCGGCTGAGACGCGACACAGAGCAGAGCTGGAGGCCGAGACTGCCAAAGCACTCGCTGCCAATGAAAAGAAGGTGACCACCAAGGAGGAAAAATCAGGTCCGCCTGACGCCGATGAACGCCTGACCATGAATGATATATGGAAGGCAGGTGAAGGAGATTGACATGCTTGCTTCGCATCAGCTGTCTTCTTGTTTTCTTGTATGTGCATGTCGGATCGCTGTGTCCAGCCTTTTATGTGTTGCAGGAGATGATGAAGATGGCTCAGCAGGAGATTGGCTAGGCGGCGATGGGCTAAAGTTTCACACCACTGCAGACAAGGCATTTTCAATGGCGAACAAACGCTTCAAAGACGCAGACGGTCCAGACGTTGCAGCAAATCGAGAAGTGGCTGCTTCAATAGCAAAGAAGCAAAGTGAAGCGCGGATGGCAGAAATGCGCCGACAGCAGAAGAAGTGAACACTTTCGCGGAAAAGAAGTTTCTGGTTCATGTTGCATGCAAGCCATGTGTTCATCATTCTGCAGCAGCGGCTGGTTCCGTGCAGGGCGTGTTCTTCGCCTTGTTTCTGTTCGTGCTCACCACTTACTTGATTTCAGAAAAAGCCGGCGATTTGTACTCAAGCCGCAGGCCCTGACATGATACTGATGTTTCGCATGGCCAGAGCAGCTTGTACACATCAATGGTCTGGTGCCTTCAGGCAGCAGCTAGACTACTGGGGCGGTTGCACCATGCAGGTTGTCGGCCCAGTTTTTCAGCGCAGAGTTGAATCTGAATAGCCCCCGCGTCTGCCAGGCAACCACCCGCAACTGCAAGATAAATGTCGACTTCTCAGTGGCGAGCAAATGTTTTCGCATGACCTTGGAACTGTCTTTGCATATACCAGCAGAAAATGCTCGAAAGAAGTTATGCCCAGGATGTGAAGGGCATCCCCTCTCTCCTCCAATGGTTGAGAGATGATTTTGTTCCATTGGCCTGGTGCTCAGATGAGTCGCTGCCTCTGCCTTCTGGCATTGGAGATCAGGCGTTTACCGACCGCACCGAATATCCTTCCGTTGTTATGTCGGGGACTCAGTGCTGAAGGGCTTGTATCAGGCGAGGGCCACGTCTGCTATCGTCCGCTAGTGGCTAGGTCGCCTTCCGTCTTCAGACTGCAGGCCAGCTCAGCCTAGTCTTTGTGAGCAGGCCTTGGTCCCTTGGTGTTACGGTGCCCACGTGAGGATGGCACGATGCACTGGACACCACGTTATGTCACGCCCTCGAGCTTTTCGGTGCGGATGCGATGGGCGACTGCACTCCGAGTGCTCGCGCGTACGCTCGAGTGTGCTCCAGTACTCTCGAGTACGCTGGAGTGTTTCACGGAGGATTAAACCCTGCTTTGCAGCCTGTGGCCATGGCCAAGGTTGGTGACACCCAAACCTCAGTGCTTATCGGGACGATCCGCATGCGGCAAGTCAGAGTGCAATACAGCCAAGTCTTGCTCTCAGCATAGCTTTAAGAGAGGTGTGAGCTTTGTTGTATGGCTGGGCATGCTTGAGATCACGACTGCCTTTGCAGTCCTGGTGTGGCTGCATAGGGGGAGATGTCGTGGCACGAAGTTGAAACCAAGAGCTCATTGGGGTATGCTGAGGCCTGCAGCATCCTCGACGAGCTGAACGACATTGGGGTCACTGCGCCGGCCTCAGCAAGAACGTCCATGTATCGACTGGGAAAAAGCACGGGTTGCTGAAGCTGCCGAGTCAAGGATTGCTTTGCAGACTACAGCGATGCAGTGCAGAGTCGCCTGCCATGGGCGCCAGCCTGGACACCTATCCACTTGAAGGCCACGACACGAGAGTCTCGGACAATCCGCCTTTGCTTCGCAGCGCAAGCCGGAGGACCACTACCAGTTCAGGAGTGCTAATGTCACCGAGCAGCGAGAGTTTGTCGGCAGGCGCTTTGGAGACTGTCTTGTGCCGCGGCTCCGGGGCTTAATTCCTCTCGGTCGAAGGTACGCTGTCTATCCGGGCGACGGTTTTGTCCTGGACTTGGGGCTGAACCTCACTGGTGCACAGACCAGGCCTCCAAATTGTGGAGTCGCGCACATGGGTAAAGCAGAGCTTCGAGTCGCACCCTGGAAATGCTGTTTCTAGGATGCTGGAGTTGGAGTACTGGAAGTGGTTAGACTTTCGCACGCGTGTTCTCCTTACGATGTGGCTTGAGGAAGATGTTTTTCCCGACCTTCCAGCAAACCTGCTCTCAGGTGCCTTCATGATTGAGTTGAACACCATCAACCCCAATGTGAACAGCTTCGTGCACAGCAGGACCTTGCAGCAAAACTAAGTACATGAACTATGCAGGGGTGCACTCTTCTCTTCTGCCTTTCAAAGTGTACGACTAGGTGGATCGAAGGTGGTTTGCTACACGAGACATAGATGCATGCTTCAATGATGTTCAGCTCCGTAGCATTTGGGAATGAAGGCCTTCCAGAGGTCTGAGCTGTACCATTCTACTTGCCAGCTGCAGTGTACAGTTGTCGGAGGATACTCTTTGAATTCCCAGCAGCTGGTGGCGTGCTCATCCGTCAAGAGGCTGAAGCTTGAGATGCGCGAATATGTGGCAATTCTGCAAGTAATCGAGATTGCGGTGCAGTGTGCAGCAGGCTTTTCCTTTCCGTGCTGTACAGCTCTCATTGCCAGACCCTTTGATACTCTTTGGTCTGCCAAAGAGTCGCTGCTCTTGGATGAATCGAAGTTAGTTCCGAGTTCTGATTGCAGAGGGCCCTCATGGCTGCGGACGACTTCGGTGGCAGCTTCGTTTATCTGGCTTGAATCCCAGGAATCAGGAAGTCCAAAAACATTCTTTTGCTACTGGTACTGCCCGATTCGATTCCCAACCCTTGATGTGGAGCTCCTTTGCAAGTCGAGGTTCTGACCTGCGGCTTCAGCATTCTTTTCGCCATATATGCTGTCAGCTGAGATGACAGCAAGCATGCAAGCATGAAACTTTGTGTGTGCACCGTTCCACTCCTGGCATCATTCTGCCCAGAACATATGGTTGATCTACAAGAACGGCGCCCGTTTTTTCACATACTTCTGGTCCAACGCACATGCCCCAGCATGCAGCTCTCACCGCTGTGTTGCAAGCGGTTCGGCACTCAATCGTCTCTGTGCTTCCATTGCAGCGCTGAGGTGGATTTGTTGAGCCTTGTGGTGAGCCCACCTGTCTGTCGTCTCCGGGCAGGGGGAAGCCACAAGCTTTGGAGTGCACGGCTCTCTTGCATGTCGCAGTCTGTGCTCAGACTTTAATTCTGATTTTTTGCTCTGATCACAGCCTTGATGCCGCCATGGGCCCGTCGTGACGCGTGGCTGCTTCAACCCGATGCCTTGTACATGCGGTCTTGGCCAGTCTGCGCAGCTCTGCCTGCAGTCGGGATCTTGCAGCTAGGGAAGCTAGGCCTTGTGTGTGCCGTGTCCGTTTGTGATTTGAAGTGGGAGGCGACAGACAAGAAGCAGCTCGTAGCAGCAAGTCTCCACCCCCGAAGCCACTCAGGAGTCTCGTTTCGTATTGTGCTACATGATGCTGCTTAGCACCACTGCCAACCAGCACGAGTAGTCAGCATTGACAAAATGTACCAGCACCGTCCTTCGAGACTTCTAGATGCCACACTCGGTTTCGGCCTACTCTCACACCGTTTAGGAGCGGCAGAGCTTCGATAAATCTCTGAGGAAGTCGTCACCTGCACAGCTCACGGCAGCCTCTGGACAAGCATTCAGAATTTCAGAATTTAGTGTTAGGTTCCGAGCTACAGGTCAGGGCAGTGACCGTGACATTCTGAGCACTCGAGCCCGATCCAAGCCAAGGCTGTGAAAGAGAATGGCAAGAACAGTCGCTGGCAGCAAGCGGTGTTTTTGGCGGAGCAGCGGCAGCCAATACCCTTTGACACATGCAGCGCTGTGATTGGTGCGTGTGGAAACGGACTCCAGTGGCAGATGGCCTTGCTATTTCTCGGAAAGCATTTGCGACAATCTCCGAGTTTGAATGCTTATATATGCGTTGCTGCAATCAACGCCGTTTCGAAGGTTTCTCAGTGGCGGCGTGCTTCGCTGATATTGCGGATGATGCAAGCGGACAGTTTGCCTGCTAACCTATATGCATACAGCGCCGCACTCAGTGCCATGCAGAAGGCGGCACGGTGGAAGGAAGCCCTGGACATTCTTGCAGATGCTGCGAAAAGGACTGTGCAGAGGAATGTCGTTGCAGTGAATGCAGCAGTGAGTGCCTGCGCAGCTGCTGGAGCGTGGGAGCAGGCAGGCCGCTTGCTGGAAGAGCTGGCATCCGAAGATCAAGCTGATCAGATAACACTCAATGCTTTCATGCATGCCCTGTCGCGCGGAGCACAGTGGCAGTTGGCACTGTCCTCCTTTGCCGAGCTGCCTGTGCAGCACGTTGAGAACAATGCACGCACAGTGGTGGCAGTAATGACCGCATGCCAGAGGGCAGAGCGTTGGCAGCATGCTCTGCAGATATTCCAATCCTGCGACACACAAGCTGTTCAGAGAAACCTTGTGACATACAACGCCGCCGTGAGCTCGTGTGCTGCTGGCAGCAACTGGCAACTTGCCTTAGCTGCAGTAGTTTTTCCTGAAGGCCAGCCCTGTGCAGACATCATCACATTCAACGCAGCCATGGACGCTCTGGCAAATGCGGGGCAGTGGGAAAGAACGCTGCAGCTGTTGATGCATCTGCGTCAGCACGTACGACCAAACCTGGTGACCTACAACACGGTCTTAGCTGCGTGCGAGAGGAGTGGGCATTGGGAGTGCGCCCTTCACGTTTTCTACCGGCTAGACCATGTTGGGATGCAGGCCGACACCATCAGCTTCAACACTTTGATCAGCACCTGCTCGAGAGCGAGTCGATGGCAAGACGGAGTCATACTTCTGGAATTGATGCGGGTAGCGGGGCTGGCGGAGGATACTATGCTCGGCACTGGAATCATTAAAGCTTGTGCCTCATGTGCTCAATGGCAATGGGCCTTGCATGTTCTTGGTTCTTATCGCGAGCGTGCTGACTTGGGACTGTACTCTGCGTGCATCAGTGCGTGCCAGAAAGGGTCGGCTTGGCAAACAGCTGCATGCCTCTTCTCGCGCATACAAGGTAGCGACTTAAGAGTTGACGCTGTGGCGTTAAACTCCCTGATTAGCGGCTTGGTGGCAGCTTTGGGCAGAGATTTATCGCTTTTTGAGTTGTTCTAACCAGAGGATGTATGTTTCTGGGAATTTGTCGAGCTGCCCGAGACGACCTTGAGCCATCTACGAAATTCCGTGAGCCAACACATAATCCAGAGCTTTTTGGACGAGATGCATCTTGAGTCGACAAACTATCAAGCTAACCACAGACTGTAAACTGAGATCATCGAAGCTGCTTTAGTGTCGATCAGAGGTACGTGGTCAGTCTGTCATGTGCAGTAGACATGCCATGCAGGTGCCTTCGAAGCAGCTGGAGAATGGGAGCGCTTGGTCTCTACTCTCGCAGAGCCAGGGGCTTTGTCCCTGGCTGACTCCAGGACCTGTGCTCCAGCTCTTTGTGCCTGCCTGCGATCCGGAAGGTGGTCCTTGGCCGTGTCTCTTTGGCAATCCTTCAGGCAGATGGGCCTTCGCCCGGATATCGTGGCAATGGATTCCGTTATCAGTGCATGTGCAAGCTCCGAGATGTGGGCTCTTGGACGCTTCTTCCTTCTAGAATCCGAGGGTATGCCAAGTCGAAGTCCCTTGCAATTTCTGTGGGCGTTGGCGGAGCTTGGCATCTCTGACAAGTCCGTTATTGCAAGCGCATGTCGCGAGGTTTACCTCAGCTTTCATTCATCCCGGTGGACGGCCGATGATGTGGCTCTTTATGGATGGTCGGCTGCCATGTTGGGTGTATCTTGTGCATCCTTATCCAAATCCATTGCCGAGTACCTTAGTCAATTCCGCTGGCCACAATTTTCTTGCATGTCTCCGAGACTTAATTCACACAAATAAGAAAAGGGACATGTCATCTTTTTTCGCAAGCATAGTCCGAGGCTCGCGCTGTCCCCGAAAGCCTTCAGTCCCCGGCAGTTGGCTGAGCTGGCGTTGCTTCAAGAGCCCGAGCTGGTGGCCATGAGCCAGGAGACTTGGTCTGATCAAAGCGGCTCCAAAGGCTCCTCTGACTTCCCCGCCTGTGAGGCTTCGGCCCAGAAGCTTCTATTCTCAGAGCAGCTCTCGTTCGCGGAGCACGGGCTTTTTGCATCTTGCACCAGAAAGCCAAGTCTTTTTGGGGAACGCTTTTCAGCCTACTTCGAGGAGGGGGGGGGTCTCGAGTTTGTTGCTTGGAGCGCTTCTTGCCCTCAGGTTCTGGCCGTGCTTCGGGCATCTTGGCTCTGTGATCTTCTTCGAGGCGATTTCCTCGCGTCAGTCCGGGCTGTCTTGCGGCAAGTGGGCAGATCCATGGACACCTCGGTGCCAGTGGCACCAGAGCTTCCTCGCCATGCTCGGCCAGCTCACTCCGAACCACAGCTCACTGCAGGCCGTTTTGAGGAAGCTCTTGATCTAATCTAATTTGCATGTGTGGCCCTGAGACTTGGGCAGCCTCCACCAGATAGGTGATGCCGTGAGGTGGGAAGTCATGCTCCGAGTTTTTTTCAAGTCCTCGCAGGGTCGTGCAGTTCCTCGGGGTTCCTGATTGGAATTTTCCAACGTTCGCAACCGCGCTTCCCAAGCCGTGCTCGGCTCCCATCGTCGAGTTTTCTAGGGTAAAGACCATGCTGGTGCCGCAGCGTGGTGTCCACTTGGAACAGTGCCTGGCTGTTGAGGGCTTGGACTGCTCGGTCACAGGTAGGCTAGGCCATGCTAGGCCCGCTAGGCCCTCCGTCGTTGTTTGGGGTCCGCGCATGTCCGCACTGGCATAACGCATGATCCTGGTGAGGCCAGCCGCTACTGTGGGAGCATTCCGTCGACAGCGCTGTGGTGTACAAGCCTGCGAACTGGGAAGTTTACGGTCGACACACAAAGCTTCAGCTTGTAGATTTTGTGCGGGCCACTTTAGGCGTGAAGCCCATCTTCGAAGATGTTGAACACAATTATGGCTTCTTGCATCGCCTGGATGTGCCAAGCTCTGGGTTGATTCTGCTGGCTAAGACCTATGAAGCTTGGTACGATCTCCAGGTGCAGCTTTATGCGGGAGAAATCGGACGTGAGTACAGGGTGCTCTGCCACGGATGGGTTCCTTCGTCGCTTCGTGAGGTCCGTGCCCGTCAGCGGGAGGGAGTCTTGGAGCCCACGATATCGGGGGGACGGGGGAAAGCTAGCATCACGAGGACGGAAGTATTGAAGAGGCTTGGGTGCCATGTTGCGATTACCCAGCTTTCGGTGGAGATTCTCACAGGACGCAAGCATCAAATCCGGAGCCACTTTGCACACATCGGACATCCAACAATCCGAGATGGGCTGTACTCCAGTGCATCTACGTTTAAAGCCGACTTGGTTTTCTGCGCCAGAAACTGGTTGCACAGGCACAAGTTGTCTTTCAGAGATCCAGAGGGGCTGCGGCACGACGTCTGCTGTCCCCTGCCGAGCGATTTGAGCCTAGGGCCAGAGCCCAGCTATCAACAGTCACGGCCTTTTGAGTTGTAGAGTTCCAGGTGGGAAGTGGGAGCTGATGCGTTGGTCGATAAGTAGCACTTAGCTCTGATGACTGGGCGTCTGGCTCGAAGTGTTGGACGTTTGCCATGAAGCTGTATGCACTGGGTGATGCACTAAGCTTCCAGGCAGCAGTCATCCTTCCGCTTTCTCCCACTTGAAGTTTGCAAAGCCCTACACAGATTCGACATAGATATGATAGGTATAAGGAGATGAGAGCGAGGGCAGCAGCTAGGGGAGCAACCGAGGCTACCTCTTGGATCTATTGCCCAACACTCTGAGTCAGGCTGCCTCCTTCTCAGGTTTACTTCAGCTCTTCGTTCGGTTCAGGTTGAATCCTTGAGAAGAGCTGAGGTCAACAACACCGATTCTTGCCAGTTTCACAGTGGAGGTCATGGAGCCGTGCGAGTGAGCATCGCAAGCGACAACGTGCGCAGCCTCATCTTCGACGACGATCCAGGCAGTTTTGGGGAAGCTGTCGGATCCTGTTGCAGGGATGATCCTGCCAGGCTACGTGGAAGCCTCGGTCGCTTGTGACTGGGCGGCAGCTTAGATGGGCATGTTGAACCGGAGCCTCGAATCTTCTGCCAGGTACAGGCAGCAAGCCCCACCTCCTCCGCTGGCCTTGGTCAAAGGCGCCGGAGCATCTGAGCTGCGAGGATCCGGCCGTGCGGGACAAGTACCGCTGCGAGGCGCGCTGCTTCGGCCATTAAGTTCTTGGGTTTGAGTTCATGAGCTCACTTTTCTGGTTTGCCTGACAGGCGCCGAACATAGACAAAACAGACTGGCCTGTGCAGTGGGTGCCGTGGTTGGAGCAGTGCCGCACCAGACCCCAGAAGATCTTATTCTTGGGCCTTGGAGGCACGTCGACCCATTGAAGCCTATGTCCGTTGCACGAACCTGCCAAGTGCCGTGTTGTTGGTCCGGCTGATTTGTTTTTTGTTCGTGTCAGCCTGCAGCAATTCTGTGCTGGCGGCTGCGTGAGGCGGCTACTACCAGAGTTATTTGGCAAGTCAGTGCCCAGCTTCTTCGACGTTGACACTGGAAAACAACTCCACCATTGTAGAGGCTGCTCGTGACTTCTTCGGCTTCCAAGGCACCCAACCCAACCGAGCAGCGGAATTTCAATTGCAACTCGGTTGCTCAGTGTAGCTTTGTGTGCACCGGGCGAGGTGACGTGATGCTAGCAGATGCAACGTCTGGCATGAAGCACCTGCTGAAGCATGGTGAGAAGTTTGCAACTCGGCGAGCACTGTGCGACCAGTGTGGCACGGACGCTCTGTCCCGATCTTCGGCCAAGTTTTGGATGTGTTCAATGCGAGGATGCCGTCATTAGTGACTTGGGGCAGCGTCAGCTGGAGTCCCGTGACCTGAAGCTGGCACAAAAGCTGCTGAGACCAGGCAGGCAGAGGATATCGTGCATCATGCTTATCATCCGTTGCATCGGTTATGACTTACGACGCTTGCTCAAGTCCATATGAACAATGGTCTCTTAATTTTCTGTATGGTAGGTAGGAATTAAGAGTTCAGTTTACAGATCGTAAGAACGGCCGTGATCACTTTGTCCGTGGCCATTTTGGCGATCAGCCGATCGGCTCGGATTTTCGATCGTCGGCGTGGGAACAGACTAGATCCGACCAGCGATGTCGTTCCCTCCAACCGGTCCATTCCGCAGCTCAGATCAGCAGCAGGTTCCTCAGTTCGGGCTGCCGAACCTCTGGGAAATGGGGAAGCTGATGGACCTGCGACAATCGTCGTCGGCAAAGGGGCGATCAAGCGGCTCCTGCTGCCCACAACCCCTTGGCGGTTCAGAAGCCTGACTTCGTGGAGCAGGTGGTTGTCGAGGAGGCAGATCCCAACTGCAACTCTTTTTTCTGGTGGTCGATAACAGGGACGAGCCGCTGATCAGCCCGTTCCAGAACTGGCCTGTGGACGAGATCATGTCCAATGCCGCGAGCCCGATCAATGTGCTCACCGAGCGACCGGGCTACGGCTGCTCCTTGTTCGCGAACTCCACGCTCCACGGCATCAAGGCGGTTTTGGTTTTCACCATGTAGTCGAAGCCGGAGGCCCATGTGCTCAGTGGGACTCCTATGCAAGCCGAGCTCTGCCCCACTCGGCTTTTCAGCCGTTCACATGGCCGGTCATGTTCGACACTTCGGCCCCCTTTGTGGATGTTAAGGTTTTCAATGGCAAACGCAGCGAGTTGCTGATTTGCACGGCGAATGAGGGATGGTTCCGACCCTCGATCGTGATCTCCATCTTCGTTGGATGGAGGGTCCCACTGACTCGATCGTGGCCAGCGAGCTCCGGGTGACCTCTCGCTCATCGAGGGAAGGCTATGGCAATGCAGGGATGCCAACAACCGGATCGACCTGAAGTGTGGGCGAACGTCCGTGCCAGGGATGTGGCTCTCGGTCAACCATATTTCTGGGCCTGCGTTGATCAACACCATCCAGGCATGCCGCCAGCAATGCGCTCGAGTGGAAGGCCCGGACCACGTGCAGCAGTTCGCGAAGCTCTCGGCTGTGATCACTCCGTGGTACAACGAATCCAAGGCGGCGAGCGCCGACAAAGTGGGCACCTTCATCGACTCCTTCCTGCTGAGGAGGACTTCCACCTCAGGTCGCGCTCGAGGCTGCACGTGAACCCGTTGCAGTTTGTGCGCCAAGAAGCCCTGGCCCATCGCTCGCATGATGAAGGTCAGGCGGTGTGAGAGCTGACATGCGCTTTTCGCGAACGTTCGAGAGGATCAGCACGATCAGGATGGAAGAGACTGTGCCTGCGATCGAGGCGGCGGCCAGCAGCTTTACACCGACGTCGGCACAAATGTCGTTCGCGCCTCAGCATCCTCGCTCGGCTGGTCCCTATGCCATGGACCCCGCGGTCGAGTCCGCCATGCTTCTTCCGAGCGGAACAAACACTGCCGACTGATCCTCTCTGCGCGCTAATGCGCGGTAGATCCTAGCTCAGATGGCTTTGTCCGTGGCCATTTTGGCGATCACCCGATCGGCCCGGATTTTCGATCTCCACCCCATTGATCTTTTCGGGGGATCTGATGGCAGCTCCTGTGGGTTTTCAAGCTCTCGCTTATGGGACCTACGACGATCTTTGTCGGCCCTGTGTCGACTGTGGTCTTTACACAGGTTGCTTTTGCCAAGTTCTACCCGGTCGCGGGGCCTGTTTTGTGCCGTCCGAAATCTGGGCTCAGGGGCAATCGACCTTCTTTGCACTACGTGTGATCGCAGAATGGTGGATCTGCCATTTCTGTCGTGGTGTGCCATGGGTCACACCTCCGACCCATCGTGCCCGCCCTGCTGCTCAGCCGGCGAATCCTGCCACAGCTCAAGAACATCAGCATCGTGATGCTGTAGCTGGTAGCTCAGCCGGCGACTTTTGCCGGTGAAGCGGGACCAATGCTCGTCGTGCTGCAAAACCGACGGCTGATCCCGTTCCTGTCGGTTCGCCTCGACTGCTGTTGCCGGATAATGCCGCGGTCGAGGCCTGGCAGCCTGAGACATCTTTCGCGCTTCGACCCAGGCCCGAGGCGAATGCTGATCCCCAGTCTTGGCCTGCTCCGAGTGTGCAAAAAGCAGATCCAGCTCCTCAGCCCAAGCCAAGCCGAAGGCTTTCGCTGCCCTTCGGCGTGATGCTTCTCTCGAGGAGCCGATCGGAGTCTATTCGGACTCCCCTGCGGATCCGATCGAAGACTTTTTGGTTTCTCGCCGCATTCTCTTTTGCTCGCGGGGAATATCTTTTCTGATATTTTGGTTCGGATGTGTGCGGAGCGATGGCCAGCTATCTGGTGCGCACCTCCGGTGATCGGAGCGCCCGTTCGGAATGATGAAGATCGGACATGTTCGAGTTTTGATCTGTGGCCGACTTCCACGTTGTGGTCGCACAAAAAGTCTGTGCACAGACGTGTTTGCATGTTTAGCAGTGTCGCCAGGCGGGACGTTTCTCTTTCAGTGGTGTTATGGTGGACTCCGCAAACATGAGATGAAGCTAGACAAAATGATGGATGCTTGGCTTATCATATTTTGCCTCGTGGGGGTGGCATGGCCTTCAGGATTCTGAGCGCAAGGTCGAAAGGATTTGCAAGGCCTTAACAGGAAGTCGTAAGCTTGTAATCCTGTAAGCTTTACCTATGTCAGGCTTGTGTCGGTTCTTTTAAAAGTTTGCAAGGTGACAGTTTTGTTCATGCTTCTCCAGATCATCTGGATGGAAGATCATGTCCTGTTGAATGTAATCCGGATCTGGCTCGATGTTGGCCCTAAGCACACGACCCCTGCTCAACAAGTTAGCATTCTGACCTGGGGATGTTGTATGCTTGCGAATGCTGGGTTCGTTCAGGACTACTTTGTCGATGTCAGTGCTGCTGCGGACAGAGACGGAGACCTGGCACTGCAATCCAATGCAGAACAAGCCTCCCTTTCGGTATCCGGCTTGTGAATATAATCTCCCCTACTTCGGGCTGCCGACCCGAGGACACTGCACCTACTATGCAGCCCAGAAAGCCGAAAGCGAACCGGACACTGTTTCTGCCCAAGCGTGAGTGTAGCTGACGCCGCGGATCGCCTCCCGTTCGAGAAGAGCTGGGCCGCCCTCCGCAAGAGGGCCAAAGCTCGGAGCAGCTCCGAGGGCTTCAAAGGAGGATAAGGTCCTTGGGCAGCTGTGCGGCTCTTAAGAACGGCCGTCACTCGGAACATTGCATGTTGTGAAAGAGCACTGCGCTAGAGCTCTTTCTTGGGCTTCGCCTGCATCTCGATGCAACATCCGGCCCTCAAAGTTTATCATCCTGCGGCAACTCCCCGCGCAGGTATGGGCATGGATGCTGTTGCTTAAGATCCAGATCTTCCAGGTGGCAGTGTCAGCCTTACATGCCAGCTGATATGGTAGGATGTTGATGTCGATGTCAGTCCATATGCCCGTCTCTGCAGCAATTCACGGATGTCAGAAAAATTGATCAGGGCCATGCAACGAACCAAATTTACATCCTGCAACGAAGGCCGACATAGAATCCGCAGGTGCAAAGAAGTGGTAGACATCATGTGACATGATGACTTTGGTACAGGACAAGACCCCTTGTGTATGCACGTTCATGCGGTGGGCACGACAACCCTTCTCTCGCTGATTTGGTTGGTTGCTCTGTTCGGGTCTGAACAGCTATAAAGCAACTGAGGACACACTTCCGAACCTGACCCCGGACGTCATCAGCGACCCAGCCAGCGGCTGAATCAAATTGTGCTCGTGGAGTGGTAGATATTCGGCTCGCGCTGTGAGGAGATGTTTTATCCCATTGGCACGCTGGTGATGGGCTTGGACGGAGAAACACGGAGCATCTCACAGCCGCAAATTCCATCGTTCTTGTTTTCAAGGTTCCCAACATGGAGCTTGTGATGGGATTGCAGGCACTGCTAGGACTTGTCAGCACCTCAGCAATCGCCGAGTGCCAGCACGCCCAAGATGACACCTTTTTCGAATCAGCAGCAACTCGAAGCGCTTGGCAGCTTGCGCACTCCAGATCACATGGCTTCGAGTCCTGAAGTACTTGACGCTCTCGCGCACGCCAGCACCTAAGACACTGCAGTAACGTTTTTTTGGGGTCATATGCGCACATGCCTTGGAGGGTGTAGAGTCGGCACAGTGTAGGTGAAGAGTGGTACGTTTTCTTGTGCTCCACCGCATTGCTTTCAGGTTCCTGCCCTTTGTGCGAGTCTTCGAGCGCTGTTTCATAGCATGGCTCTCATTTCCCACTAGACCGTCGCTGGCAAAGTGTCACTTCTGAGTGTTTGATCCATATTTTGGAAGGCCTTGATCAAGTATTCAGCGCTGCTGTCCGTAGCACTCTTTGGCTTTGCGGCCTGTGGCTTAAACGTCTGGGATCGTGTGAGACCCAGAGCGTTGCCAAGTTTTTCGCTGGCGTGAGGTGGCTATCTACATCGGCTTCGGAACTGAGGTGCTCGAAAAGTAGTGCATCAAGAAAGTCCACGCTGCGCTGTCGTCCTTTCGTCGCATAATGTCGGTCATCGAAGGCTGGCATTTACAACAGCATCTGGAGCACTTTCGCCGAGAACCCAGCAGACTTTGGACAGCAGACGGCAAGCCTAAATGCTCTTCCACGGGCTGCCTCGTTGGCATGCGCGGACATTACTGTGTGTTCTGAGGTTGCAGTTGCTGTGGCGCCAGCGGGTGGTGTCGACTTGGGCCCCGTGACGGTCGCCTCCTTAGAGTGTACGCGACCCGCTGGAAGCTTCAGTGAGGCAGCCCTTCTGAACTGATGACTGCTTGCCAGGACAAAAACAACAGCTTGGTTGGAAGCTCAGTTCTGATTGTGAACTATCAGCTGGATCGCCGTGTGCATGTCTGAAATCAACAAATTCCCCTTCTCGAATTGATGTTGACTTGTCAAGGTCGCTCCAATCATCTTGTTCTCCTACATCATTGTCGCTGCACGGCCGCATTTTTGCCAAGTTCTGTTGACGATTATGACATGCCGCCTGTTGAACTTTCGGAGCCTAGCATAAATGAATGTATACATCATCGGCACTGTGGGCCACATTTCCGCCGCAGGTTGTCCTCTTGGTGCTGACGACGTTCAACGCTATCCAGATCGACTCGTACAGTGTGACCACGCGGATGCCTCAGACCACCCTCCACCACTGCAGTGGTTTCTTTACATTTCCTGCATGCAGTGCTGGGAAAGTCTAGTTGCAGCAACACCAGGAGTAGCAGTAAAGAAGCAGTAGTAGTGGTGGTGCTGCTGCTGGTAGTCGTCGTCGTAGTAGTAGTAGTAATAATAATAGTAGTCGTCGTCGTCGTCATCGTCCCCTTCCTGTTTTTTTTTCAACGCCCACTAAAAGCAAAAATGCTTTCGGAACAACACCTCTGAAATCATCCCAGCCTTTCAAAACTTAGCTAGATTAGGGTGTTCAGGAGAAAAAGAGAAAGGCAAGAGCTGGAACAAGATCCCCCAAAAGCAACCGCAGAGATAAAGACCACACCCTAATGTAACACAGCCACGTTTCGAGCTTCTTTTGGGCGGTCCCCGTGTTCAATATGTGGTCGTCGTCGTAGTGGT